CTGAGTCTGTTCATCACATTTCAAGTTGTTTCAAATGGTTCTTAGAAACTTTCGCTTAACAGGCTTCCGTATCAAGTAGCAGTGAATCACCGACGCCTCAAAGCAGGAACCCAGGTATATTTAACGATAAAAAAATATTGGTTAATCATAGTGAGATACTGCCCTTAGTACTTGAGAATGTGTTAAGTTTTCCCTAAAAAGACTCCTGGAAATTTGCCTGGTTAAACTTGACCGGCAGAGAATTACATCACTTGACCACTCTTGAGAAGTAGAAGGTGAACTTACAGTCCATTTTGTCGCTAGTCTCTAGTTTTTACCCCTAAGGTTTGTGTTGGGACTGAGCGTAAGTAGGTGTCTAAAGAGATGCCCAGATGTGTTTGGGATGCTGTAGGCTATTAGGTCAGCTATAAGATACCTATACCCCAATGGGTAAAAGTTCATTGATTCGAGCTGCTCTTGATAAGACTCGGATTTTAGTTAACGAACTGAGTTCGTGGCTCACCTTTGGATACATTCCAATGCATTCTTATCCTTTAAGCATGAGGGAGGAAACACCGTATTTCTATACTCTAAATGGGGTCCAATGAAACTGTTGAATATTAAAGGGAAGGTCTACCGTCACAATGGCCAATAATGTACCTCAGAATTACCAGTGCAAGATTTGCTCGGTAGGTATTTTTGTTTCCATTAGCGTAAGACTTAAGACCACATCATCAGTAAAAAGTAATAAACCCGACAGTACTTGCTGAAGAAGGTTGTTTTTATAAAGGGGTCCTAGTAGTGAACCCTGGAGGACCCTACAAGGACATTACGTAGCCTGAGAAAAAGTAAACTTTTTCCTGCCTCAGAAAGTCGATTATCTAAACGTGAAGTAGGCCAATCAATCAATGGCGGCTGGACACATCTTGGTTTAAGCTTGTCTATAAGACATCTATGATTGACCCTATCAATATCTTTCGAGAAGTCAAGGTATATAACATCAACCTTCCCCTTGTAAACGAGATTGGCTGTCTGTTTGTCTGCCGCGGCCAGCAGTTTGGTTACACAAGAATGGCTCTTCATGAAACCGTGACGTTTGAGTGAAAAGAAGCTAATGGATAACATGTAGTCACATAGAAGGTCGGACATCAGGGACTCCACAATTTTTTAGGGTGTTTAGGAAAACGCTACCGGCCAGTAGCTGAAAGGTTTGCTACGTTGACTTCATTTAGGAATTGGTGTAATGTAATCCAGTTTCCAATTTTCTAGTACTGTACCTCGGTTTTAGGAATATGAGAACATTATGCTAAGTGGTTTTGTTAGTATTAGAGCCACTTCCCTCAGTATAGGATAATGAACCATATTCTGGATAGAAGTATTCTTGTTCATATGCTTGAATTTCTGAAAAACCAAGTCAGCTTTCAGGTTCACTTATGGGAGTCCCTTGGATTTGCTGGCAAAGTTCTCGTCGATGAAGTTAGCATGAGACGGCCGAAATGTCTGAAAGTGTCGTTCTGCTAGGAGGTCGGTAGAGTCACACTCATTGTCGGTTGAGTCATCAGGATCTAGCAATTAGGAAACTCCGATTCTGACATGTTGAAGATAGGCTGCACAATGGAATGAGCTTTTCGGATTGAAGACAAAATTATCTATACCTGACTATTTAGAATAATTAATAAAAATAATTTCTTTGCAAATGACCGCTGAATGAGCCAACATAGGTCAATCGGCTCAATTTCTTGCTTATGAAAACCGATTGGATAGTTGGTCCTGTTCGTGATGACTCTCTCATTGTCATAAACCTTAAAGATAACCCTGACCTTCCTTTCAGTTTGCAGGACAAAAATGACAGGATGCCCTGGGGTGAATTGAACAGGAAACTTGAACTTCCTAAAATAGAGCCTTTGACGGTCACACGAGAAAGGAATCTAAGCATCAAAATCACCCAAGGCTACTTCGTGTAACACTTAATAATGCTACCAACGTAGATGATGTCCTGGCAGATAGTCGTTTACTGAAATCCGATGGGAACGTAAGAATACAGCCAGACATACCGTATTCTGAACGCAATCTCATCCGGAACGTCCCTAAAGAATCTCGCAACAAGTTTTTCTGCAGAAGAAATATAATTGTGCAAGGTGTGCCGGAAAACACGGACTCTAGTCAAGCAAACCCTGATATTAGGGAACGGAAATTCATCAAACAGTCCTTGAGGCTCAAAAACGTACTGACTCAACGTGTGACGAGACTAGCGAAGAAGGACGGTGATTCTAGACCCCGGCTAATGAGGATAACTCTCCCATCCTCCCATATGGCGGCTGTAACTCTGGAAGCATTTTCTAAGAACAGACGTCTGTTGCCAACTGGAATTCACATGCACCCGCACAGACTATATGAAACCAGGACCAAGCAAAAAGGCAAGTCGGGGCTGATCACTCCACTTGTGGACTGTCTCGATGATAAAAAATATGTGACGGACAGAGCTTACCAACTCGGCAAACTTTATATAGGTAGGCTACCTGTCCATTCACGTGAGGCTGACACAGGCAAACAGGAATAAGCTCACGCGTTTCAAATTGAAAGCATAAACTGCTTATACATGAACGCCGCGAGTCTACCAAACAAAATGGATGAGCTACGTGAGCTTAGCAACGCTACTAATGCTCATCTGATAGGAATATCTGAATCTTGGATACCTTCTCAGTTCTCGGACCAGGAGCTAGCAATACCTGGGATGCCTTTGTTTCGCAATGACAGAAAAACGGGAACTGAGGTTGGAGTAGCAGTATACATACGATCTTGCTTGGACGCGCACCAAGTTCATAACCTCGAGTTTAACAATCTTGAGGAATCCATATGGTGCTCTGTAAGATTGTCTACTACTTCGAGGTGCCTAGTCGGAGTCATATATAGGAAGCCCACTGCCGACATCGAATATGACAGTCGTATGCTGGAAGGACTATCCCGCTCTACACATCTCGGTTTCACTCATATCCTGATTCTAGGGGACTTCTATCTCCTCAGAGTCAATTTCGCGTAACATACGTATATCGGAAGTGAAAACTCAACTGAAGCTCGGTTCTTCAGTCCCGTTGAAGATGTGGGATTATACGAAAATATGAAGTCGGCAACTCGTTGTAGAATCAGTCAGTCACCGTCGCGCTTAGACTGTGTATTTACAAACGAAGAATTTCTAGTTGACAACCCCTCAATCCTAGCTCCTCTGGGGAAAAGCAATCACACCGTTATAGCCTTCAGTTTTGTCAGCAAAACTGAGCTAAGATTTCTCACCAACAATATGCGCTGGAATTTCAAACGGTTGAATGTGTCGGCTCTACAGGACTATCTACAACAGGTGGATTGGGATGTTCACTCTCAACTCGGTGTGGATACTCAATGGGACTTCTTACTGCACACGCTCTCATTTGCTACAAAGCAGTCAGTTCCTCAAACGGTCCCCAATAGCTACAAGCAACCTACAGTCATCAAGAACCACACTCTTCGCCTGCTAAGTCGCGAAAGGCACTGTTGGGCAGAATATAAACGAACTGACAACAATGGAGTGTACAGGCAACACAAACATATGAGGAACATATGCACGACAGCTATAAGAGAAGACAGGCTTCATTACCAGATAAAGCTTATGGACAAATTTGCCTCCAATCCGAAAAGCTTATATGTTAGGCAGCCTCTCTTCGTCAAGCAAAAACTGGAGTTTCCCAACTGCTAGGTCCTAACGACCAGACCAATAACGACGGCGACACCGCTGACCTTTTGGCTGAACAATACTCTCGGACATTTCAACCGACCCATATCAACTATACTGAGGACAGCTTCATTTGCAACGGCACAGGACTTTCCATAGTACACCTGAGCGCTGACTTGGTGTTCCGGAAACTACAGCACCTAGGAAAATGCGTTTCTCCTGGCCCAGATATGGTCCATTCTGGTATACTGAGAGAAGCAGCCTCAACTTCACTTTATCTCAGGCTATGGAATGTCCTAGTGGGGTCCCCCAGGGCTCAGTACTAGGATCTCTTCTCCTCTCGATCTACATAAATGATCTTCTACAACAGGTAACGTCAGATTTATTACATTTTGCTGATGAAGTGAAACTTTAAAGGGAGAGATACGCGGCCATGACGATATACAGGCACTTCAGGAGGATCTGACTCGACTTCAAAGTTGGGTAGACGATAACGGACTTATCTTTAACACTTCAAAGTGTAAAGTAGTCCATCTGCGACATGTCGCAGACTACATTTATAACTTAGGAAACGCCTCTCTAGTAGTATCTCAAGTCGAAAAAGATTTAGGAGTCCTGGTGCCCTACGATTTAAAGTCTTATGGTAACTGTGACAAAAACGCCTTCCGAACAAACCTTGCACTGGTAACATTGAAGCGCATTTTTGGTCAGTTTGACGAAAGAACTTTCCCTATATTCTTCAACAGTTTTATCCGTCCCCATTTAGATTAGTATTTTGTCCCTCACTCCAAAAGGATAAGGACACTCTGGAGCGTACCCAAGAGCAAGCCACGAAGTCAGTTCGAGAACTCAAATTTAAACCTTATGAAGAGCGCCTCCATTCACTTAACCTTTATCCATTAGAGTATAGGCGTCTTAGAGGTGACCTTCTGATGGCTTACGGTATCCTTAACACTTCTGGACATCTTAAACACCTACTTAAGCTTAGTCACAATACCAAAAATAGCACCCAGAAATTGGAAACACAACATAGCAGAACGGATTGTAAACACAACTTCTACTTCTTAGTAATTGTCGAATGCTGGGATTCGCTGCCGGCCAAGCTAGTCCAAGCGACTCCCCAGGAGTCCTTTAAGAGGCAACTTGATCTATTCTTAAGGACTAAGGATAGTATCACACTATGATTAACTAATTTCTTTTCCTCTTTTATTGTTAACATACCTAGGTTCCTGCTTGGAGGATTTGGTGATCCCTTGCTACTAGACACGGAAGCCTGTTAAGCGAAAGCTTCTTCTATTCTGTCCACAACCATTTGAACCACTTGAACCATTTGTTTAAAATCACCTGTAGGCGCTAGTCTTCACTGTAAGTAGCTGGATTGCTGTATAGACATGGGTCACGAAAACATTTGGCACTCACGTCCGAAGAATTATGGTCAAGGCAGTAGATGCTGTCGTGTTTGTTCCAATCGACATGGTTTGATCCGGAAATACGGTCTACATATGTGCAGACAATGCTTTAGACAGTATGCTTCTGTAATTGGCTTCAAGAAGTTTGACTAATAATACAAGTTATCATGGATTAATTGTTATTGTTATTAATCTCATTTCCTTAAGTTTGACGTCACAGTAATGTTCCGTTGTAGTACTGTCCTTGCGTTGTACCGTCAGGATATAACATACGTATTGTACTTAACACAGCCTCACTTGTTTCTATTCTTGTGCTATATGGTAGTATGTGTATTTAAATTTATGGCCCTCACCTTAATATGTACAGTATCATATTATTAGACTGAATGATTAGCTAGGGTCGCTAGCAAGCAACCAGAACATTAAAAAGGCCTCTACGGATTCTACTATGAATAGATTACAACTTCAAGCAATAAAAGTTTACGTTCGAACCTGTGATCAAATTTAGGCAAAACGGTGCTAGTTGAAGTAAGACCTCGTCATGGGATTCGTAGTGATTTTATTTCCTAATCCTGCATATTGACTAGTGATTACACCAAGTCATTCAGACAGTATGGTACTGTATGCATCATAGTCATGATTGTTTCAACAGTACCTCCAAGCCTTTGTAAATACCGTTATCCAAGGAATCCAGTGTGGGTTTTTTTTAATAAGTTCGTTAAGCTTTCCATCATGTGTACCTGTCCCGTGATTATCACGTGTCACATCCAAGCCTTTGATCACTAGTACCCTAAGTATCCAACACAAACCTCCTGACTTTCGTGGCAAAGAAATGCTGTTTCCCTTAGCCTATGATAGATTCCTCGTCCTCCAAGAAGTAAGTCACATTTTTCATATTTTAAGAATTAATCTACAAGCTCCACATTTTTCTAATTACCAACCCGATTTCTCTGTCGACGGTTTTCTGGAAACAGTGAGAATCAAAGTGGTACTCAATAGCTTTCACATCATTATGGTGTAGATCGTATTATTTGGAGGGCAGATTTTTACTGAAGTATGGAAAATGCTGCAACCACGGCCATCGACCTCAAGTGATTTACCTTTCCTTTGTTGCTGGGGCTGTCAATACTAATCAGATAGATCAGATCACAATAGCTGTAGCTGCAGTGGATTTCAAATTTTCCCGTTTTTGGTCACACAGAAGGCGGTACTAGTGATTAATAGTTAATATCTAGTTTAAGATATTTGTAACTAGTACGTGTTCCATCTTAGATTTTTCATAGGTGATAAATCACATTTTATGCTTTTTCTATGACACCTAGACGTTCAGTCACTATAATCCTCATAATCATAAATCAGGTGGTCCGTTCCACTTCCTGTTTATAGGTCGATCTAATTTGTTGCTGGACGGGAGTGTTGCGGTGAGTACTATATCAATAAGTAATTGGTACCTTGTCATCTGAATATTTTTACGGTTATCGACCTCGTTGCAAATATTACACATTAAGAGTGTCGTTGTTAGTTTCGATTACCTGAATCGACATTTACAAAAGTAACGAGGTTAGACCTCCATTAAATTTTGAAGAATCAATTACCATGACTATCCCTCGGAGCTTACAGCTTGATACATTGTTTAGTCCATCTGATGTCTTAATCCTTGAGCTTTTATGTCATCAGAATAAACAATTACTCGATCAGAGTTTCTGAATTCCAGCGAAAGATGTCTGATTTGTCAACTTTCGCCCCTCGGACATAGTGTCTCGTTCGTCAAACTTCCAGAAGGAATAAAATCTGCGGTTTCCTTTATAGCTGTTTTAAGTATATTATATAGAATGGCAAGTAGTTTGCAGTGGCGTATCCACGTTAGTAATTATGTCTTTTATAAAGACATCAGTAAATATAGGGTTTCAGGTGTTTTATTAGCCGATGACAGGCTCCGTAATAATAACATTGTTTTAAACCGGAAACAATGCAGTAAGATGACTTAGATATAAAAGTACGAGTATGGAGAAAACGGTATGTACATCACCACGTCACGCACGCAATTTCACAGACATCAAAATCTTGTTAGGTAGTAAGCGGGGTTAAATCACTCAATCCCATAAGCTCATTAATATGCCAGGATTCCATATATGGTATAAAGGAGAAAATAGATTAAGTAGTGTGATACATTTATATACATCAGGCTCGTGGTAGCAATGAAGTAAATGGGACCAGACCATCTGTGCAGCGGTAAGGGAGTAGGTGTGATAGCGCTTTGGAGTGTTGTGCGGCGCTTATAAGTCTGAAACCATCGATGTAAGTCACTAAGCTGCAGAAGCCACATCTCCAGGCAAACACCAAATACTGTAATATGCCCGAACGTAAAGTATTTGTCAACCTAATCTTAATGAAAACAGTTCTGACTATCACTGGGCATCTTGATGCTTATCAGTCTCCATACGTATACACCATACCCTATTGTGCTCTGTATTTGTGGACCGCAACCCATACGAGCTGAAGCTGTCAGGTGACTGTTCGGTCGACATTGATACCACACAATCGCTCACAACCAGTGGTAACACCCAGCTTCTTAATTAGTTCTGACTCAAGTCGTGTAAAAAAGCAGTCATCGTCAGATTTTTCAAAAACCTTGCATCCAAAAGCCGCTCAGTAGTCTATTGCTAATGGTAAGAGCCAAGTACCCCATCGTCGGAAATGATTGCAGTTATTGCTAATAAGATAAAAATGTAAAAAAAAAGTTGTTTTCGTTGTCTGTGTTACCTTAAGTTTCATCCCACGGCACAGACTAGTAAGTCAGTTAAGAATGTGAGAAAGAATGTACATATAGGGTAAAAATCTAAAGTACCTTATGCATGATTCTGATGAACTAAATTTTCGGAGTATATCACGAACAAAGTGAAGTATTAAAATACTAACCAGTCAGCGCTTGGGATGCAGCATTTTCGTCAAGAGATTTGCAAACGTTAAGCTTAACTTTGGAAGGGTCAAGAAAGTGCAGCCTATGACGAAATACATGGAATACTTCATAAATTAATAATCGTTTACATTGGGAAAGTATTTTAAAACCCAACTAATACGTGAAATTGTCTTAAATAACGACCTGTTACCGGTAAACGAATTAGCTAGAGGGAAACCTCCAGTACGGGAATGAGTGATCCGATCTTTAATCAACTATCAGTAACGAGCTTCCTTGGTAGTATGAATGGACTCCATTTTTAATGTCAGGATCTTACCATTACTGTTGTGTGTATTTTTCATCGGATATTAAAGTCGAGACCTCCTTGGTTTTCTACTGGTAAGTAGGCTGTATTTTAGGTAGCAAATAAGACTAAGTCAAATTATATGATATCAACAGATATGAAGTGAGAGTTACAATCTTTATTGTTGAGTTCTGAATGACTCACCTCGAAAGTTAGGTTGAATCTAGCCGAACTATTATATTGGTTTGGATGTAAGTTCTCATTCTGCAATTTTCTCAGTAAGCTAAACTCTTATCTCACTAAGTGTCCAAATGTCACTGGTTCGTAGCAGGAATTAAGTCTATCTACCAAAGAAGTGATATTTCATACTATGTCGATAGAGATAACCTTCAAGCCACAATTTATTAAACAATTCTAAGTGGATGTCTGGCGCTTTAACCGGGTTGGTGGACACGAAGGGTCAACATAGGGGAGTTGGAAGGCCCTTGTCCCAAACCAATGGTGCACATCGGCCCCAGGGAACAAATGGCGTATGAACCTTTTGTTGGTCACCCACTATCACGGGACTGCATCTCCTAACTTTACTCCACAGCCTTGTGGATTAGGTCGATAGGTCAAAGGTTCGGGGAGTGGCCTGAGAAAAGCAGCTGTTTCAATCCGGGCTCCCAGGTAGTATTTCAGCCCTCACACATATCGTATGGATTGTGTGGCGCATATGTATTCGGTGTCTTCTTGTACCAATGTCTAGGTGTTTAAATATAAAGCTGACAGTTTAAAAAGCATCCCAATAAATGATGTCTGTGAGGTATCATACTCATCTCTAACAATAAATACAAGTGACAGATGGAATACATAATCATTTAGTGTCTCGAACAAATATAACCGATCCCGACTACAGCTAGCTAACTCAACAAAACCTCAAGTTACCAATAAGAGAATTAAATGCACATACATGTGCACCTTCCTAATATACAACTTAACAGCCAACAGATATTCGGGAACAAAAAACAAATTACTGTATTCGATACTGTTATTATTGTTATTATCACTAGTAGTAGTTACTATCTGTTATCACTGTCTTATCTCAAAGGCAAACAATATACATAATTATATATTGTTTAGTCAAACAAAACAGAATTTTGACAAGAGGGAATTGTAGACCAAAAGAATGAGCGAAGAGAGGGAGGTGGGCGCAAGTCAGAAAATGTGAACACCACAAGTAATACGCGAAATGAAATATTTAGAGTATGAGATAGAAAAAAGAGCAATACATAATAGCCAGAAAATATTAAACGCATTAGAAGACATTTAACAAAAATGAAGCAGAACTATTCAGTTAATAAAGCCATTGCTTTCTGTAAAGAAAGCATCCGTCGTCAAATAGCTCATTCTTCACACGTACACACAAAGAACGAAGTTATTTTATATGAGGATCCATTGATGCACATAAGTTGAAGTGTGAGAAAAGCTGTGTCGAAACACATGTTTTAGAGGAAAATATATCGCACAAACTAAAGACGCGACTGCAAGAGAGGCATGATACATTTGAATTAAAGCAGCAATAACAGAGAGCAGTAATAATATTCGTCGAAAAAAAAACAATGAAATGAAGCAGTGTATAACATATGTTTATGCGATTTTGACCAACAGGCCTGTTTATGAGTTTGCATTTACATACACATACACCTTCAAGAATTAAGATAAGAAGAATTAAAATAGAACTGAAGGAAAATGAAATACATAATTAAGTACCAAACGTTTATATTTATAAGACAAGACTACAATTGAATACAATAGATTTAGTCATTGGCGCACATGCAACCATGAATGTAAGCGTCAGGCGTAAAATTCAAATGTTTACTGCATGTGTGCATATATATCTATATACTGCGTATCAACACATTCATATCTGCACATGTCAATATAGCAATAAGTTGTATATGGAGCAGAAAAAAGCACATTTATGAATTGAGAATGTATGTTGCCTTGTCATGGTGGACAGTAGTATAGTAATAATAATAATAATAGATAACAGATTGAGGAATTAAAATCGGCAAGGCATGAAAGAGAAAATACAAGGTGACCATAGTTTACTTGGAAACGAAACACAAAATGAGATTATGCAATCAGAGATTAACGCTAGAGGGAGAGAGAGACACACAAACAAAACCGTGTGGCACAAAAATACATACTATCGAGAGAAAAAAAACAGGATATTAGAAGACAGAGTGGAAAACAATATAGTGAATAGAAAAAAACTGATTTATTTCCCTAATTCACATATGGAGAAATGTCATTTTTTTTCTTGAATTTTTATTGGAAAATCCAACACTAGAGAGTAGTTTGTTTTTTTTTCTGTTTATTCAAACGAATGAACTCAAAAGATATGATCATAGTATTTGAATAGTGACAAAATGAAGTTATGCAAATAAGAATGAGTACAAATGTTTACCGTTATTCCCCTCCACTCCTTAGTGAATTCAATTACATAACAATGAAACAATGTAGATAATAGTTTATTCCACCTTATCAAACTTTAGTATTGTTGTAAATATATTTTATTTCAAAATACATTATTTGTGTCAAAGCACAAAGCGTTAAAAATAGTGAAAATAGAAAAACACAAGCATACATAAATACATACATACATACATACATACAAAAGGAAAGCATTAAATAATAATCATTTCATAAATTTAGTAGGAGCAACGAAACATGGCAGCACATAGTTTATTTAGTTACTTATCTATTCTCATTCCATAACAACAACAACAACAACATGATACGAAATATTGATCATCATTTGAACTAGCCGCTACTTCTATCATTGTTTCCGATTAGAGTACTATAAGTTAAGAAAGATTTTACATACAAAAATGTTTGAGAGAGAGAGAGAGAGACAGACAGACAGAGATATAGTCGAATGGAACTATCATCATCATTATTACTAATGAATTGTTTTGCCTGTTTCAACATTTGATTTATTTAATTTTAGGCATTGAACAGATAAAATCCATTTATTCTAGTTATTTATGAAATTGTTAAGCAAGTGTATCTGTGTCTCAAGGTAAGTATTAACATTGAGAGAAGAGAAATGTAAAAGCATTCGATTATACAACTATTCTTTTGTAGATTACAAATGGGAGAACAAAACAAAAAGGGAACACAAAGAAAAGATAAGATAAAAAGGTATTTCACAACAAATAAGAAACGAATGTGAATTATAATTGTACGATTATTAGTATTATTATTATTATTATTATATAATGTGTTATTTGTGAAAATACTTTCTGCATTGTAGACGTGCATCTTACACTCGCTTACAGGTTCTATGCAAGTGTACAACATGATTCTTAAGCAGTAATCGAGAGAAAAAAAAGAAAGATATGTACTCAACCAAATGATGAATAACTGCACCAAAAAGAAACCATACATAAATCAACACGACCAATAATAATAGACAAATATCAAACAAAGAAAAAGGAAACATAGAACAAAGAAAATAAACAGACAAACAAATAAATAAAACAGTCAGTCAATTAATACAAACCACATCCTTTCAGATTATTTGCTATAATCACATCGGTAACAGCATCGAACACAAACTGAATATTATTTGTATCAGTGGCACATGTTTGATGACAATAGATTTCTTTGTTAGGTGATCGGTTTTTTGCTTCGAATGACGCTTGAATATAAATAGCCGCTTCTTCATACGTTTGTTTACCTATTTTGTATATGTGTATATGAATAAAAAAAGGGATGGTTGTTAAGCGTCGATATCATTAAACAAAATCAATGGGATAATGAAAAAATTATAATAAAAAATTGGCCAGATTTATGGAGATGGAAACATTTTCTAAAAAAAAATTATTTCTGTTTAGAAAATTTATTCCTTCTACTGATCGAAAAGAGAAAAATTTGGCTACTTATGAATGATAACTCCGCCTGGAGTCCCTCCGGGGGCTACTGCCGGTCCCAAGCCCGGATAAAGGAGGAGGGTTGGGCATGGGGTTAGCGTCCCCATCCCGTAGAAAACTAACTCGCTAAAAAAACGCTAACCAGAAAAATTATTGAACTTATGAATGATGAATGATTGAGATTTCAAGTGAACAGAGTTCTTTTTTTATTATCTGGTTACATTTGTCTTATAGCTTCAAACCATATCATGGGCATATCATGATCGGAATACAAAGTGAAAGTGTTGACTGTTATAAAACTCACAGATTACTACATCCCCAGTTCAATAAATATGTGGACTAATCGTTAAAGATTTTGGTGAAATTGAGAAAGAGTACGCCGTTTATGGAGATAGTTTATTTTAAAAAATAGATCTTTTTAGGCTGGCTAAGCGTTTCAGTGGGGTGTTGTGAAGATCCGAAAGATATATCAAAGCTAAAATGACTATCAACCCACTGTGTTGATGAAAAACATATGACGTGTAATGCCTATTAAACAGAATATGTATAACTATCATACACAAATCTCTTGTACATGGCTTCTGAGTTAAAATAATTTATTGAATGACTTTAGGTTAGTTCCTAAGTGATTAGATTCGTAGATCACAAACAAACTGTGTTCGCTCATAATCAACACCCATTTACAAGTTGTTCAAGAAACATAACTTTCGTTAGCGCCACAGATACACTGTGTTAATGGGTGTTGAACGACTTTAACATAAAATTTATCTGCTGACACTTATTACCGACCGATGAATAGTCTGCCATTAGGGGCGGCCAAACCAAAAGTGGCATCAGTCCACAAAGTCACTAACTTCTAGTCTGAGCCATGTTGAGAGATGCAGACTACTTGGTTGGGGTCCGCGTGACTATCGTAATCAATGGTTGGAGACTCTTGGTGACATGGCTCAGAATCGACCACAATGGCATAGGTGTATACACTCTCTGTCTTCCCTTAAACTAAGAGTTCAAAATCGCTTCATATCTTTATTTCTACCAACTAATTTTTTCTTCCTTTACTATGTTCTTATATGCAATCTTTCTTTTATATATTACCACCATTGACTTAACTACTCCAATGAATCCGGTGTTCATTTTGCTGTGCTAATACGGTATGGCAGCTTGGACCGATGTATACATGTGCCTGGTCCTACGTTGTAGCTGACTGACTGACTGTGAGGAATCTATCAGGTTCTCTCACTGTTGAAATCGAATAGGACGACATCATAACACAACACAAATAAGTACTTATCACACAAAAACCAAGTATAACAGGTTCGCGTACTCGCAGCTCTCAATCATCGTCTTTTGTGATATTATGCCCTGCTAGGAATGAATTAGATTTCGAGTGGTTCGAATCAACAGCCTATTTGTTTGAAAGATATATTGCTTCAAGTAGACTATCCAATATTTTCAGAATTCCAATAGTGGCCTAACATTGATCGATTTATAACCTCAATCAAAAACTATCCAGCTAATTGGAGAAAAAAAGTATGCATACGATAGTAGAAGCCAATTTCCAAAAAAAAGAATACATACCTGGATATTCTGGGAAACAAATAGTCAATGGGGAACGTTTGATTTTCTCTTCGAATAGATCTTTTTTATTTAAAAATAAAATAATACTTGTATCAGTGAACCATTTATTATTACAGATTGAATCGAATAATTTTAATGATTCTTGCATACGATTCTGTAAAAAGAAAATAAAAAAGAATGAAAATAACAAACTTGCAAATATACTACTTATTTACTACTGAGCGAAAAAAAAATGGAAATAATCCATTTGAGGTTTATAAATATTTTCTTTAAGAAAATAAAATTAGGTGGTAAGAAAGGTTTTTAACTCAAATGGATGACGTTGGTTGAGTTTCTTTCTTTATAGAGAACGATCTAATCTTATAGTTTTAATTGTCCTTCTGGATATTGTCGGTAGGAAAATTCTAGTGGAAGTGAGCTACATGGATTTTCTTACATATGACTGCCAGCTTATCCTTTCGACGTTAATATTTCGTGGTTGTTGTTGTTGACCATTGTCCTATAAGTGACTACATATTCATTTTGAATGTCGTCCCTGCTGACCTTATAGTTCTCCATGATTTTGTTTTACTGGTTGATAAGCTGGTTTGGTTTCGATATGTTTATTGATTGCAGACTGACTGAGTGCGATGCTTCCAAGAGACCTCTGGTCTTCTTGGTATTTCCTTTATTCAAGATATCGCCATTTTCCCAGTTGAACATGTGTTCATAACCATATACATGAATTGATATAACTAAAGATATGTCACAGCACTTTACAGTTTGCTGGTGTTCATTTAGACGGTCACACCTTGTTCGATAGTGTTTTTTTCGCAGTTGAAACAGTTTATTTTGCAAACGATGTTTAACTTTTTCCCTTTTGTCATTTCATACTTTGCATAAGATTGACTGAACCGATTTCATTGGTTTCTACAAATACCTTACTTTTACCTGAATTTTTTTGATGTTTTTATCCCAAAAGATAATCAAAACTTCATGATGAAACCATCCAGCTCAGATGGTCAAATTCCTTAGAGAACAGAGAAGTATATATTCCTCCCAGTTAGTAGTAGTAGTATGAATGCATCTACTCCTGCCTAATTATTTCAATCTTCACGATTTTTACCATTAGTTGACAAGATTCTGTGAGGAAAAAAATATTGAGACATATAAAAGAATGGCAGACTAAATTCTATTAGTGCGTTGAAAGTCTTTCGGATCAAACCTCTAAAGTATTTTTCTGATTAGTTAGTTTACGATTAGTGAATTTAAAAAACAACACGATTGACTTATTATTAATAGTAGCAATAGTATTTAGTAACAATAGTATATACTAGTCGCCAACATTGTCTTCTTTTGCTTTATACATTAAAAATCTGGTATTCGAAGTGACTACATGCTATTCATGATGATCTTGTTAAACTTAGAAATACAAATCAAAAATATGAAGTTTATGTAAGGGGACTGTGTTTTCAAAGAGCATAAAATACAGATGCAACAGACTATACGATTTATTAGTTACTCAGGATTAATATCGAATCTACTTTCATTCCATCCTAAAATGACGACTACACCGATCAGAAGCGACGTAATCAAACTGGTAAATTGATATGAATATCCAAGAAAGGTAGTACATTCACATTACTAATTAAAATAATAAAGATTTCAACGGTTATAGTCCAGTTGATCAGTAATAACCAATGATAAACCTAGCACAAATATGTGTTGGTCGAAGTTGTTATATCATATTGACGCGACGAAATGAAAATCAACAAGGTGAAAATAGATCGAAATAATGTGGTAGCAATAATAATGAGAAAGATTGAACATAAAGAACACCATCCGATAAATTAAAGAGGTATGTATGAAGGAATATTGGAACTTAATGTCTAAACTAAGATAAAGAGTGAATGCATCATTATTAGTGAGAACGATTCGAGCCATGTCATCCAATGTCTCTAACCACTGATCGTGGTTACCGTACGGACTCCAATCATGTATTCTGCACCTACAAACACAGACCAGACTGATAGTCAGTGACCTCATAGACTGATATCACACCTTTAATTGGCTGAGCATAGTTTTCTCCCAACTTACACTTTCATCAGTTATAACATTGTTCTCTGAAGTGGACAGTGGTTGAACATACAAAACACATTATTTGATTTCAAAGAATACTACTTTCCTAACCATCAATTCAACTAAAATAAATGACAATCAAAATTATACTTTTCTATCGTACACATAATCACAATCAAAGAGAATTACTTGTCGTTCAATCTCACAAGATTGTAAAGTCCGAACTCCGTGTCATCTACTTTGGGTGTGCTTAGTATAGTGTCAAACTTTTTGACCCTATATCGAGTAAAAAACAATTGTGATGATACGTGACACTCCATTGTTGAATGTCTTTTGTGAATTCCTCATTCGGTATCGAAATAATTAGTTAGTATCAAAAACCTAGAAAATTCATTTTATTTTTCTTAATAAACCACTCTATTACAAAATTAATAAAGGGATACAAAACCAATCCATACAGATTTGGATCTGGGCAAAAGAAGCCTTAGGACTGCTAGGTTAAAAAAATACAGATTTGTAAAGGAAACCCATCACCCTTTCAAATTCATGATGACTATTTTAGAAGTTCGATACAACATCATACACTAAAGTAAAAAGTGATGATTAGTAATTTCGAGAATCTACTAAGATTTTCTAAAAATTAATAGACATACTGTTGTCTCATCTTCATGTAACACTTGATCGTACTCGCTCATAGCAACACAGAAAATAATTGCTGTCACATCTTCAAAGCAATGAATCCATTTTTTACGCTCCGATCGTTGTCCACCCACATCAAAAAGTCTAAATTTTATCAAAGATAAAAACAACAGGGCAACATAACACATAAACACAAGTCAAAAATTATTATTAGTCAGGAAATTTTTGTTAAACGAATTGTAACTTAGCAGGAAAGTGAAATGTGTTATATAAGATTAAACACGTGATTCTAACTTAGTGGAATAGTGAGATGACCATGAAACTCAACTGCAGGGTAAACAAAAATAAACTGAAAATACCTGAACTACTTACAAGTAAACAACTTAATTATACACAAATATTACCAAAATGGTTGATGTATTATTTTAACCAAAGATAGCAGAACAATTTGCTTTAAAACCAATAGCGATTAGTAATCTCACTTAGAAGAGGTTAACAATCCGAGAACTGTATGGGTTCGATTTGTTACACCTCATGATAGTATATCAGAAGAAAATGAAGGAATAAAATGAAAACAAGAGAGTTTAGAGAAGTACGATGGGTTGGGCTCAGTACGCAAAGATATGATCACATGAACCTTAATTTCAAACGTTAAATAAGCATAAACTTCTTAATATTAATGATGCCCAACAAGCACCTATTTCAGAAAACGCATCAAAAATCAGTGAATCCAATTGTTTATGACGTATTTAGACAAAACATCCAAGTTAGGAGGTTTAGACACATAAAAGATTCTATCTAAGCTAGAATGTTTATTCTGAATCAGTCAATAGATCTAACCAAAACAAATACCTATTTGGAATAAAAATTGAACATTTGTATTTTGAATAAAACTTCTTGATCTATGATAGCTTAAAGGAACAAAATATTAAAGAAAAAATAGTTACCATGACATGAATCAAGCTATAAAGAAAGAACTTTTGTTATCAAAATAACATTTACTGAAAAAAAAAAGAAATCACTGTGAAATATATACCTATTTATATGAAAAAAATATGAAATGATATAAGCTGACTGGTTACTCTGTAAGCTTCAGAGTTAATAACTGGTAGAATTTGGTTGTGTAGATAAAATTTCAACCTCTCTTATCTTTCAAAATGAAGAAGAAAAAAGGCGAGACTATAATTTGTAAACAAACCAATCAGATATTAGATAGCAGGTCTAGGATTTCGGCGCGAAATTCACCCATCTGTTTGGTTAAATAGATTTTTGGCATGATAGCCGATATCGATTCGTGATGAAAACCCCTAATCTAATTCCTAACCTTAACCGTCAACTGTAAATCAAAATTCTAATTCCTCATACTGGTTTATAACCATCATTCGGTCCTAGTTATTAGGTGAACACTCTCAAGGTCATCCTAGCGTCCCTCAAAGGTCGTTCACAGATTATAGTCTCATCAAAAAGAAAATAATAAAGTCTTACAGAACTAAATTTATTCAAATGAAGTGATATCAATGACAAAATTGGAGCTAAAAAATCCATTAATTCATAGTTATATAATATACCCTTGTGGGTCAGGGTAATTTTACATTGGTTCTCAGAACCAGAAACCATCCAGACTTTCACGTGACAACTCAAACAGTACAGCTCAATCGCGTTTAACAGAAGAGTCACACACTGCTAAGGCTTAAAATTTGTAGCCCAAATAGTACAACTTAATCCCGCTTCACAGGAGAACCAGACACTATGTAAGTTGTAACTCTACAATCTGAATAGTACAGCTCAATCCTGTAGTGCAACCACCAAACAGGTACCAAGCACCCTGGTGGACAAAAATGCATTAATTAATAAAAAAAAAGAATTAATGTCAAAATACACATACTTGAAATTCATATTTTTAAATTGAAAGTGTACTTCCACGATACCAGTTGTTTTAACACGAGTTCTAAGAATATCTTGCTCGGTTGGCATATAATCTTTAGCACCAAGACGATCCAAATCATCAAGAAAACTAAAAGAGAAAGGTATAATTTTCAAATAACACAATGTCAATTTTGACTGAACAACAGAAATTCGATTATTTATATATAGAGAGATATAAAGGATTATAGACATTTAAACTGATACATGATGCATAACAGTTATTTAGTATAATAACAATATATATTACAAACACCTAAGTGTTGTTCCTTTAAACTATGAGATTAAAATCGCTTCATATCTTTTTTCCTACCAACTAATTCTTCCTTCTTGTACTATGTCCTGATATGCAATATTTCTTTTATATATTACCGCCATTGAATTAACTACTTCTATAAATTCGGTGTTGATCTTGTTGTGCTAATGAGGTAATGACAACTCGGACCGATGCACATATGTGCCTGGTCCTACGTTGTAGCTAAGTGACTGAGAAAAATTGAATTAAAATATCGAAATGAGGATAAATAGGTCATTTTAACAAATGGATATCACTTAGTGAACCCCTAGTCTCAAAAGAAAATAACTTCAAAAACAAATCGACCTACGTTCCAGAATCTGATTACTTCTACAACGGTAACAAACGGTCAAGATGCAAGTGAACCCCAAGAAAATACCCTATTAGGAAGGAGGAGGTGTTGGGGGTGCTAGGTCCCCAGAAATCACTTGGTAAACTTATCACTTTTGTAGTTTTATTAATCAAGTTCCAATTTCTCAAGTTCGCGCCGAATGAGCCCATTTTTGACCTTCAGTTTCTATTTCCCATCTGGAAGGACCTTAAATGTCATTGATTCGTTTCCTCTCTTAGTACCCTATTTTGTGATGTTTTTCAAGGACATTTTTCATTATATATGTCCGCGTGAGTTGTGTGCTTGTCGTTTGTCCTTCCAGGCTGCTTGTGGAATATATATATTTTCCCGTATGAGTCTGGTCTTTCCCCTCTAGTTAGTAGAGCTGGGGCTCAGTAGAATAGCTAAGCTTATCCTGTTGTTGTGTTGCTGGCTTTTGTTCCGTTCGCCGGTCCTAGATGATATTGTAATCCTTCGAAGATAGCACTATCAAGTACTCAATTAGACGGCAACTGAAATGTGGAATTTCCAAACAGTAATCCCTAATGATGGGATCTAAAAAACCTAGCAGTGAAGTAGAGAGAATGTAATATTTAACGAAGACAACATCAAAGTGGAGTAACTCTCTATCATAACGACGAAGACCATGAGGTGGTACATAGAAAAGTTAAGCTAAAAAGTTGTGGCAACCGATTGGAACATATCAAAGGTCTCACGAAAATGCGAATCAGAAAAATTATACCGACAGTTATCGTCACAACTAATAACTAACACTTATTCACAAAAACTAGATAACCTGATATCTACATAGCATAAACATGTTTAACAACTTATCATCTTAATATCATTCACTGTCATGTACATATTCACAACTAATTACAACTTCGTATTCCTCATAATATATGCTTATCACTGTAAACAGACTATCGGTTTCCATCCCCTATCTATATTCTATTTTAGAAACTATTTAGTAATGAACCTATTCTATCATTAACAACAAAAAGCATTTAGTGTGTTTTACAGTAATTGGCTAGTTGCGTTGACCTTGAAAGAGACTTTGTTTTGGGTCGTAAAAAGGACAAAGACGAAAAGTCATCACCCAACTGTCTTTAATAATATTTATGTGAGGAAAACAATGAAAAAGTAAGCTATTAACAGTTTTCTACATTTAATTGATTGATTAAGATGATAAAATGTTTGAGACAACAGTAAACTGAACAATTCATCCTCTATAACAGATCAGTTTATAATTCAAAAGAGATTATGGGAATGGAATTAATGCCTCGAAAACAAGTAAATAAACGAGACAGGTAAACCATAATCAAATTTACATTTACAGAAATAATCAATTATATGAACGAACCCCTCAGCACCTAATGAAGTTCAGGTAATAGGATACTATCACTTTATTTTAAACAATATGGCCCATACTGAGAACCGTCAGACTGACTGTACCAACTATTATATGTTTTCCGAACCAGTAAGCTTAATATATATTGTCAAGCAAATAAAAATGTAAATCAGTTATTACAAATTAAAGAGGTGTTTGAGTTCATCCAGCCTCACCGATGTTGATACACTAAAAAACTTTTCCTTTATCACATGAACATTGAACTAGCGTCACATTTAACGTCAATAATTGAAAACAAAAGTGGTCGACTAAGGACAGTTTTTAGTGGAATAGAGAGTAAAGTCCAGTTATAAGTCAACCTTTTTTCATTTTACTGTCTTCTCCAAAATATTTATTCAACTATATTTTTCAGTCTAACTTACCAGATGTTTACTTAAAAGTTCAGTTCTAAATATCTCTTCCTAGGATTTCGGAACTCACTGTCTATTGCTCATATGTAGGAGAACAAGTAAGTGAACAATACTGAGGTTAAATATAGGTTAATAGGTAATAACAGCAAATCGATTGATAAGGCTATGAAACTTTATGAACTGAAATAACTACGATCCGCGTTAACCATATCCAACCGCCTTCTTCGAAACGTAAAGTCGCCGATGTTGCACAGAATCTAGGAGTGAACAAATTAAGATGTAGTATCAACTGATGAAGTCGCTGACTGTCGATCTGATACATGTTAGTAGGCAGAAACTATCTGGTTTGTGCCCACGCGATAATCGTGGGGCAGCCTAAACCAGATATTGGGTGACATCACTCAAAATAAGTCCCTCAATATTACTTCATACTTTTTAATAATCGAATTCATTTCTTCTTCTCGAACAAACATCGTCTGTATTTATTTGTTTTAATATAAAGGAGACTACTAATATTTCGACTACTATCCAATGTATATTACTACTTTCAATGGGAAAGTCGTTAAAACTCCCTTATGAAGGCCCCTATCGAGTAATACAGAGCGCCGAAAAATATTTCATAATCGATAGGTACGGAAAGACAGAAAGTCTCTAGATTGACTGAGTTCATCTTTCCTGGACATTCAACAAGAAAACGATAATAAGAAGATAAAGAAGGGACTTTAAACCTCTGTCTCATCGAAGCTGGAAACCAACAACCACTCAACTTCAAACCCTATTAGCACAACCTATTCCGGTAAGACAATAAACAAGTCTAAACGTCATATTCATTATGCTGACTAATTTTTTTCGTCACAACTTGTCAAGTTTTTCATGTTTCTGCATTGAAACAGTTTTCGTTTGTTTATACACACAATAATCCTATAATTATCTAAATTCCGTGTAATTAGCAATCTCTCATACATTTTCATTCAAAGTGTGGGTAGTTTTGGTTATTTTTTCTGAATTAGCGTCCGACCAATTCTTTGTGTATGTTGGCTACAGAGTTTACTAATTTTGGGTGTTATTATTATCACTTTTCCTTTTTTTTATGCTCAGTAAAACAAACGTACAATTATTTTAAGCATTAACATATTACATAGGCCTAAATATATATTGAGACGGAGAGAATACTGGGAATGATGTGAATTTCGAAACTACTTTACGGACTATTATTATTTCTATTTTTATCATATAATTATTACATAATTGTATTATTGTAATTTTATATTTTCTTTATTGTACGCTTTTAATGTACCGACTAACTATTGTTGTACGTTTTACTATTCCTTAATTATGTCCAATTAATCATTCACCTTTTCACTTTCGTTCTCTGCCACTTTTGACGTAGTTATGTCTATATATTTACTGCATATTCATGTTGATAAACGGCCAGGAAATTAGTCTGTATCATTTTATGAGTTGACTAACGTAAGTTATACTACCGCACTGCAGCTTGCTGTGTCCTATATTATCGGACCGAAGACTGGGTTAGAATAAGAGCATATTTACTGAAGCAATAAGAATTAGAATCATTTCATGACTTTAAATTCAAGGTTTATCTTGCCAGTTGAAGTGTAGGACGCTAGCGATAACCGAAAACACGATACGTAAAGGTAAAGAAAATGCACAGGATTTTCATTGTTGAATCTGTTCTCTAGAAAATCTCGACCAATCTATAGATATAACATAAATATTTGTCTTACAAAATAGCACTACATTATTTTCCGTCTAATTTGTGTATTTTCCCACTTATTTTTCCATCAATGTCTCCTCCGGACAATCTAGAAGGAGGAAGATATAACAGAGACGGGTAATTTAGATCGAATTCGTGGATCATTTTGCGATTAATCACATGTTCTGAATAATTGCATTTACTTTCTTTATTGAGATCATGAACCGATTGATGTTAGACCATATTTGGAAACCTTGAAGCACTAGACGGCCGTTTCGTCCTATTGTGGGACTCCTCAACAGTGCGCATCCACGACCCCACTCGCGGGATTCGAACCCAGGGCCTTCGGTCTCGCGCGCGAACGCTTAACCTACTGGACCACTAATTCGGCATCCAACAGTGTTATTGTCTAACCTCAACCAATCCACGAAATTGCGCGACCAACTCCCATTGTACTGAGGTAGATACCTGTCTGTACCCGATATGGATTAGCTCCACTGGTCACGGCTTCTCACTAGAACTCCGAGAATTCCCTCACGAAGCCAGTCACTAGTGAGCACATGTTGATTACTTAGTACAGGGGTTGTGGAGATTATTAAGTTTTTGATTGAGATCATGAACCGATTGATGTTAGACCACCACAATAAGACGAAACGGCCGTCCAGTGCTTCCAGGTTTCCAAAAATGGTCTAACATCAATCGGTTCATGATCTCAATCAAAAACTTAATAATCTCCACAACCCCTATACTAATAATTGCATTTAATTTTCACAGTACTAGTTATTGATCATAAAATGTTGTTTAAGTCAGTATTGAACCATTTTGTACACCTTCAGTATGGTACATTTCATTATAATTCACACCAAATACATGTGCTACCCATCTGACACCTTGTTCTCTCATTAATTGCTGTAACATGAACAGGATTTTAACGTACCTTTCACACTTCTTTACAGTTGGTGTTCCTGAACACTATCATGGTTAACTATTCCGTCCCACCCCCAAACTATATATCATTACTCATAAAACCATAAATATATGTTTTCAGAGGAACATCAGTATTATCTATATAATCGTATATTTGGTTCGCCATAAGAACTAAAGTGCTTTTTATTTTAAATCCAACATTTCAACATTTAGCAGGAATTTCTTCAGTCTCACAATATGTTTATACACGAAGGTATAAAAATTACTAGGAAGCAAGAATATTCTTTTTTGTTTATAATCAATGTTGTTTCCTCGAAATAGAAAAAAAACAAGAGTAAAATTCAAGACAGAATTAAACGTAAGTAAACTATATGACAAGGGGTTTGTACTTCTTAGGGAACTTTTAACCACCATGTCTTGAAATGGTGGCCTTTTGTATATATACAAATACAAAACATGCCTACAAAAGTAAGTACATACAAGAACGGGATATATAAACACACACACACACACCATAAAAACCACTTACTATTTTGCCGAATCATTTAATTGATATTCATTTGACCGTGCAAAACATTCTTGTACACCAGAATCAGCCCATAATCGTTTCATTGCATCGAGTAAATCTTCCGAAAATGGTTTTGTATCCTCCATAGCTTGGATAACATCACAAACAATACGAGCATCTTCAGCCTGATATAGTTTTATACAAAATATAGAATGTAAGTAAACAAAACACATTTAAACAGTTAAGAGTATAAATTGATTACTACTGTTATGAAATAATAAGAAACCTTTAGTTCTTTAATGAGATCAACAATCAAAAATAAACTCAATAATTTTTATAGAGTAGTGTTAAGTGTGAATTTTAGAACTTCCTAATTTACACAAAGAGATTATCGACTAAAACGTATTTCATTGGACTAATGTAATCAGAAATTTCCGACGAACTAAAAAAAAATGAAACTAGTTCTGTTAATTGTTACTCTAAATGAGAACCAAAGTGTTAATAGGGAAAACTGATCAAACGTTTAAAGGAAAAATTAAGTAAACATTTATAAATCTAACTAGGTGGCAGAAAATTATTGTAATAAAATGTATAGTAAACAATGATACATTCATTTATTCATGATTATGGTATTTTAAAGGTGATATCGAAAATATAAAAGAAAACATGAAATTAGGGATCCTCAGTTTTCAAACAAATATTTAAACACTCCATAGACATTTTAAGCAGAGTTGAATAGTGTCTAGCAATGGAATTCAGGATGTGCATTTCGTCCTATTTGAAACTCATCAGCTGAATGTACCTGAATTTCAGAGTTGATGTTCACTCTGGGACTCGAAATCAGTACTGTTCGCTTCAAACGCCATCGCGTTCTCCATTTAGCTACTGAGTCCTGATAGCCACCTGCTTTTGCAATGGGATGAAGTTTAAATTAACTGTGTTGTTTTATTTGTATCTTCCCATTGTTATTTAGGACTGCGATTGAACATCAACGCTGGGATGCAGGTAAATCTAGCTGACGAGTCCCAAATAGGATGAAACGCGTATCTTGGGTTCCACTGCTAGCCGCTATTCATCTTTGCTTAAAAAGCGTGTGACTTAAGGCTATATCGAGACGATCCGCACAGGATGCACATATGCCAACATGAAACTGATCAACTGCAGTCCTAAATAACAATGAGAAGATACAAGTAAAACAACACCAAGTGAATTTACTCCACAGATATAAGACAAAAACTAGAACTTTAAAACGATCAAAAGTTTGTTCAAGTGATTCATTTAGAATCAGAGTTAAACGAGAAATTTATAAGCACATAAATTAAAAGCTCAAATTCTCTATAAGCCCTACAATTTCCGTTAAAAATAATACTCAACTGTAAGATATAGTGGATTGTCAATGAGGAAAATGATGATTGACTAATGATTTGTTCTGCTCAAACAATAAAAAAAAAAGATCCCAGTGGAGGAAGAAATCAGGAAGAAGCGCTGGAAGTGGATAGGACACACACTGAGGAAAGCACCCAACTGTGTCACAAGACAAGCCCTCACATGGAATCCTCAAGGTCAAAGGAAAAGAGGAAGACCAAAGAAATGGAGATAGACATGAGAAAAATGAACAAGAATTGGATGGAACTAGAAAAGAAGGCCCAGGATAGAGTGGGTTGGAGAATGCTGGTCAGCGGCCTATGCTCCATTGGGAGTAACAGGCGTAAGTAAGTAAGTAAGTAAACAATAAAAAAATATATACGACAGACTTAAGTAATGAATAATAGAAGATTGACTTATTCTTTAATGCATCACATCAGAATAAATGCTTGGAAAAGTTAAATACATTAACATAGAAACAAATCAAAAGAAACTTCTGAAAAGAATCGTGAAGAGAAAAAATATACATGAGCAGAGAGAAAATAAACACAAGTAGAGATTTTGAAGTGTAATAGTTGAATCAGCTTAACAGAATCAAACTAGAGTATCTGATACTTTTCTACTTTATACGATACGATTGGAAACTGTTCTGGAAATAGTAACAATACAATTTGACTTAAATGTGGACAAGAGATAATTCGATGCCATATTCCATGCTATTTGGCGACAAAATCTAGAATCCATATACATTGCATGTGTTCATCAAAAACATATTGCTGCAAATTCAAGACGTGTACTCTCTACCTGAAAACTCTAAGATTCTTTCCAGATTCCCAGTTCGCTCTTAACCAACAAATCAGCCCAACCCAGTTAAATATCTATCTCTTTATTAAAAGACTATGGGTGTCCAATGTTTATTATTATTATTATTATTATTATTATTATTATTATTATTATTATTATTATTATTATTATTATTATTGTGTAGATAGTTCGGCAGAATTAGATTTTTATTACCCTGTGTTTAAACGACATGATTTCGTTTGAATACTGCATTAAAGAATAGAAAAACAAAATAATCCCATACGAAAGCATATTTAAAAGTGGTCTGATATTTAATCTTGTATCTTTTAACCAATCTATGTGTGGACGAATTTATAGGGGACGAGTGAATGCCTAATTCCTTCATGAAGAAAAGAAAATCTACAGGGTCAAGGTCATTTAAGTAATCAAAATCGAATAGATCTATCTGAAAGTAAGAAAGGTATTTCAGCTTCTCAGCTGCATCTGATCACTCACCTTCACATACAAACAGATATATATATATATATATATATATATATATATATATATATATATATATATATATATATATATATAAGTTGAGGGAGACAGATTTTGTTAGTGTTGTGTTACAAAACTTTACAAAAGGAAATCAATCAGACTATCAGATGCACTCAACATCCCAGAAATTGTACGTCTTCTTCAATCTTAACGGCAACATTTCGCATATCTTGAAGGTCATGTTAACTTATAAAATTTCGATATGAATGCAAAGAGCTAATTCAGCTCTTGACAGTCAGTGCCAATTGTATCTCAGTCAAGATTTTAATCTGTTTACCAAAAGAATTATGTACTTTTCAACCATAAAACATGGTCTATGTATGTAGAGGACATGGATGGATTGCCACTGTTGAGTTACAAACACTTTTCAAAACATTCTTCTCGTATCACGAAACTATCAAGTGAATTAATACAAAAGTTAAATGTAGAAATTTAAGCAGAAATGGTTGATATGCATGTTAACCTTCATTACTTGTATACGATATGTGTAACTATGTTGTGACAAATCATCGACCCAATAAAATCACTCTCGATGTAGTATGAGAAGATACAGGTTTCTAGGTTGAAGTCAGTGAGAAGATAATCGTGATATATTATGCTCAATGAATTTAAGCAATACGAGTTGAATTATTCAACTATAGAGTAAATATGTACTTATTCTTTGTCTTATGCTAAATCTCAAATTTCCTTCACTTATTCTATTCGTTAACGTAATATTAGCGTATTCTGTATATGGTTTTCCATGACTATTTGTAGCGTTATGATTATGATTAGACCAATGGTTTTTCATTTTAAAGATTCCCTTCCCTAATTTGAATAAACACTAGAGTAGGTACTATTCTACATTTTATCGAATAGTCTACTTTAAGTTCGTTGAATGTTTCAGAAAGGTTACGAAAATTAATGATAGTTTATGTCATCCATTGATATTGATTAGTGAAGAAACATTACAGTATGTATATATCTATAAATAAATAAGAAGAAACTGTTTTAAGTTTCCAAAAAAAGAACTTCATATTCGGTACATTACATTTCAGGAAAGCAGGGATTATCTTAATTTTTATAATTTCGTACAGTAACTAATTTATGATTGAGGTAAAATGCTGTAGGTCAAGGTTATGAACTCAAAGACATAGTAATCAATAATGGACTGATTTCCCTAGTTAGGGATATGTATATGCATGCATATATGCATACATACATATATATGCATATATTGCGTATAACAGATAATCCTACATATATTCCATGTGTATATTCAACGATCCTAAGATTGTATACATACATACACGTCTGAGAAATAAATACTGAGCTTTACAAAATATTGATGGGAAAAAATCATATCACCCCTATTTCAGTTGACTTTAATTTTTCACCTAATTTTTATACTAATGAAATAGACCAGTGCTGTCTTTTAATATGTCCAGTAGTTTAGTAAGCTGGTCTGAGTTGAACTAAAGACCAACTCTGATGCCAATTGAAAGAGTGGAACAGAATAAAAATATTATTCCTTCTCCACAATCCTTCTCTCTTATATTCGCAATGCATCTCATCCTGATATAATAAGAAAGCATTACCAACCCCTTTATATTATGTATCCACAATCATTTTTGTCCTGACATCATTCATTCATAGAAAAATGAGATGATTTTTTCATCAAAACGATCGATAGATTAGCCATTAATAGCATTGAGAGTTTGATAACCGTTCAGTTGTAAATTTAAACAAAAACTGATTAGTGTAACGAAGAGATAAATATAACGTGAAGAGTTGTAAACGTCGAATATTTTAACTGGATGACTTCCTGGAAGTCTACTAAAAAAAATAGACGAACTGTGATTAATCTTATTGACAGTTTACAAAAACACCACGACGTACTTTATAGTAATGTGGGATAAAAAGAAACTGAACTACAATTTCTAGTTAAGTATGAGTAATAACATTAAGACTGTAAGAGTATAATACGATTTGTCAGATTATAAAGCCGAAATGACAGTGTCTAGTTCTTAGCGCTAATTAATGAGCTCTGTTATTTATTGATCTGTTTCATGGTTATTATTTCGTTCACACATTATTCAGTGACAATTTACACTAAATATAAAGACAAATGTATGGACACCACAGCACCATTACTTTCTTAATGAACAGATCAACCTTATTTACTACACATTAGCAAATGAAGCCTACAGAAAGATTCTTTAGATAAATCCCAACCGCTCAATGATGGGAAGTGATGTAGTGTAAGTAATACAAATTAAAAATTTCTACAAATCCCTCATATTAATAACAATAATGTGCTCACTAGTTTCTAATTTCGAGAGGTAATTTCATGAGTTCTAGTGAGAATCAGTGACCAGTGGCCATCAACCGTATTGAATTTGGGGCAATTACTCACTAATGTCATTGGAAGGTGCTTGTGTAATATCGCGAACTGATTAAAAACAAAATGCAAATTACAGGATGTCGACCCAGCGTTAAGCACTTGCCGCTAGACCTGAGGGTCTGGGTTCGATCACCGATATATCGTGGATACGCACTACGGAGGAGTTCCATACTAGTTATCCAGTGGTCCCTGACTTTCAATAGTTATTTAACTAAGTTCGGTAAGTTATATAAAATATATGATGGCTATTGACTCAAAATCATAGTGAAATTTATTCCTGCTGTTAAAATAAGTAACTAGAAACTTATGGTAATTATAACCCTTCCGGGTATTCTTATTGTTTAGGTTTACTAAACTCCTAATGTTCTAACTCGGATAGAAAAATATTTACGTCCAACTTATACACAGATACTCCAACATATCGTAAGGAAGAATTTGCTTATAAGACTAAATACCAATGAACCTTAGACTATTCAAGAATTCATCCCATCCATCCAACAATGTGAATAGGTGTACCTATTATATTAACGAATAAGCAAATATCGTTGTTATTAAATCATAAATGCTTTTCAACTTAATCCAGAGGGGTAATTATCAGGATCCTTTTCAAAAGTCAAATGATACTTTTAAACCAATAGAACGATCATTATACAGAACATTTTTTTTAACAAACTATGTTAGACGAAGATTAGTGAGTTCAAAAGAGAATATGAAAAAATGACACAATATTCCTTGTTCCCATGTTAAATAATATAACATAAATTTAAATACAGTCATCATGCACTAGTTCATCAAAAGAAAACATCTTAGTTATTCAATGACGTTAAAAGTGCACAGAATGGGATTATTGATTTTCAAAGAAAGGCAACAACAACAAAAACAGCAGAAAACCTTTTGGTGCATATTTATTAGTGAATTGACAAAAAGTCACAGTGATTTTTGAACCTGCTTGATATCACGAGTTTAAATTAATAATTTCTTTATAATAACTGTCCCACATCATCATTTCATATGATATTTCACCTAGGATTGGATACAAGTCTTTATGTGGAAAGATACCAACAATGATATTGATTTCAATTAAATCCGTAGATATTTAGAATCCCATCGAAAACGCCTTCCAATAATAAGAATTTTAATGAACAGATAGATAGCTGTTAAAATTACAGAAATTAATTGATCATTGACTAATTTCAGTCAGTCAGTCAGTCAAGCACGACGTAGAACCTGTATGTATGAACATCTGTCCAATTCGAGGTGCCATAGTCAATTAGTAAATCGAGATGAAGCTGTCAGGTCAAATCCCAGAATAGTAGAGGTAGTAACAGTATCAGTAGTAATAGGGAAGATTAGGCGTCAAATATACGATTCGAGAAACATAAATTAGTAAAAATTTTTTAAAGACAAGAAGTAATAAGCAATTCAGAAGTTCCGAATTTGGGAGGGGGACAAAGAATGGATGCACCTGGGTCATCCCATTAATAGTCTGTAACTGTTGGTTACTATAATCATTCGGATTCCAACCCAATGGTCTAAACTTGTTAGCACGGCTCAGACCAGCTACCATTGATTTCATGGACTGATTTTAAGTTTTGGTTTTGTCGACCCTAGCCTGCTCCTACACCAAATAACATAATATAATAAGGAGAATCAAACTTATATTAGACAGATGATAACACACTGTATTTGAAAACAAACTGAAAAACGAGTACTCCATTGTTAATTTTATAAGGGGACGAGTATTGGAAAAGTTGAACATTTGGAACTATCCTACTTGAAGTTGTTATTTATATTTTCCTATTTGTAAGTTTTTTCATGGTGAATAAACTGTTCTTGTGTGTTGTACTATTTTTAGGTTACTGTTAATTCATTACAGATTTATTAATCGTTATTCTCCCACCTATGGAGCAGTTATGCCAATATTGCAATTTCTTGATTATGTTGATCTGTGGTCAATATTTTACTCTATTTTATTGTATGAGTTTTCAGTCATGACTGAATTCAGAATATAACAGAATCTGGTTGCTGATTTTTCTTTTCTATCAAGGTAAGATATAGAGGAGAACTTAAGGACAGCAGACCAATGAGAGCTTAAATTGCGCCTTCCCAAGGTTAGCGGTGAAGGTCAGGTGCGTAACTGGTCACGCCTAGGACACTAGGCTACAGAAAAAATAATAAACGCGGAATAGAAATTAGTTGGGACTCTAATAGGTGACTTTAACACATGATACCAATCAATTTCAAGCCGTAACAGTTCATGAAGTCATTAACTGTTAAAATAAACCATGCTGATAGGTGCGGACTACATGGATAGAGTCCAGTCGATAATCGTGATTAGTGATTGAAAAAATTGGGCAATATGGATCACAATCTGTGACAATGGTGCGAATCCAATCATTCTTCATCTTCTACTAACTCTCAAGTTTTAAGATTATCTCGCACTTTTAGTCCACGAAATCACCTTTTTTTGATTCCATTCTTTAATGTTTAGTATGTTTCACTATCATTGATATAACTATCATTCCAACTCTTTTACTTTCCATCTCGTTATCCTGATGTGGCATCCCAACTTCAGTTGACAAATTTTATTAAGGCTCTATATTAATTTTGATTTGCTGACTGATCAGTTATTCAACTAGGGTGATATTATCTCTCTACTTTCGAATATGGAGATAGAGTTAGTGCTAAGAAGTTGATCAGAAGATTAAAGAAGCGAGAATGAATGCTTTTAACTATTTCCCTCGATATTATAAAATATCTTATGGTATAGTGTACACAAAAATCATCAGAGTACATAAGTCTATCACTGTCAAATGTTTGAAGACTATTGTAGAGATTGAACGTCAACAAGTTCCTTGAAAATACATCTTTCTTCATTTCGCTAACCAGGATTAAGTGTTCTAGAGTTAGTTGTATCTTAGAAGTTCATTGTAGACGTCGAGTAAACTAATGGATGGTATCTAACCATTTATTCAGACGGTTTCAAACTTTACGTAACCTTTCACAATGTTTCCTAGTCTTATTGATCTTTAATTTAGATGATAACGTCCTAAGGACACCTTTGATTTTAGTGAGCTGTAGTATTAGTCTACTTCTCTTGAGAAAGACTGACTGTAAGTCTATGGGAGATAAGTTAAACTGTTTGAAAACATGAAGTATCATAACACCACTTAACCAACTATTACTAACCATAAGTATGAAATCAACTTTAATTAAATTCATTATGAAATAGTTTCTTTTCAAAAAGAAGATACTCAATGTCGGTGGTGACGTCCAGAGTTGAGTCAATTGGAAATAGTTGGGAAATTCATACCAACGAATAATTTCTACAATTGCTGATGAATTATGGTAAACATTATACCTTGTCCAACCAAAACCTAAGAGATATTGTTCAATTCGACTTGCCCCATCAAAACACTACAGTTTCCCTTTACCTATATACCTATATACAGATCAAAATTAACAACTTTTAATCGACACTGAAGAGAACTAGCCCATCTGACCTACCGATATCAAAAGATTCACAGTTTTAGATCATTTCTGAACCAGAAATATCCGTCATATTCAGTGAAAATGTAATTAGAACAATAAGGTTTGGCGAAAGTTCTTGCATAATGGAAACTACTATTTAGTAAGAGAATAAATCGATTTTTATAGATGCTGTCCCAATAGTCAATATAATCAACCCTATTTTCTGATGCTAGAATTTGATACCTGAATTGAAGAAATGATTTATTTGTAGCGTCAAGCTAATGAAAATAGATTTTCCTTTACGTAATAATGCAATGTCCAAATATTCGACTTTACATTCAGGTCTTAATTGATTGAAGGATGAGTGACCTACAAGCTAATTTCCTCCAATTGCCTTTTGACTTTTATCATGTCCATTTTGTGTTCCGATTCTGTATATAAGCATGTTATTGTATCACAAAATTTACCAATTCTTCTGACTTAGTGGTCTTGTCCTTGATTTATAATCATTCGAGAGCTTAAGTCAATAATACGGTCTCGTGAGAAGCCATCGTCCGGATACATCATAACAGTGTGTTCGTCTATCGATAAAGTCTACCCACTGATTCTGACGCCTAGTGCTGGTTAGTGTATCATGAACTCTGAGGGTAAAGTTGGCAAGATTATGTAACCTAAATGTTTAATTGTTACATCTAAATTAAATCCGGTTAAAAATATAAATAAAATTTTCTTCATTGTACCCTTTGTAACGAATTTCATGATTACAGAAAATTAGTTTTTGAAATATCGAAGAAATTCAAGACTTACTCCTTGTTCACTATCACCGAATTGAATTCCAAGAGTGTTCATTGCTCTGAGAATTGCAACCATCGATTGAATGGTATTACTATAAACCACCGGTTTATACTGTTTATTATCTTCTTGTGTAAATCCACCTTCATGGATAATTCTAAGGGGAAAAACAGTAATTGAGATGAGTTGAGAAATTACCGAATAAGTTTATTTTTTTGACAAATAATCCACATAGTGACAGATAAGACAGTCAGCCATAATCAACGTCTGGTATTAATACGTGTTGGCCCAAGTTATCATACGACATTAGCATGACAAAATCAACGGTAAACAAACTAAAGCCAAAGCTTAGTAATCACATTTTTATTTGTGTACAGTGTTACGATCCACACCGAATACATAGAATCAAGTGACACTACTCAGCTTACTAGATTTTGCCAAGAGAGGTTATCAAAATTGTGATCCATCTAGCGTGTCGACCAAAGACAACATAGCAAATTAGCAGAACGAGATGAGTAGTATAACAGGGGGATGACAGTAATATCAATGATTATCGACAAGACCCTATCCAACCTGCCAACACGGCTCAGTCCATACATATTTACGGTAGTTCAATAATTGTATAGTCGTTTGGTACATTGCTAACGTTACCTCAAAGAAGGATAGATGAAATATGTATGCATTAGATAAATATCAATGTTAATAAATGAATGTTTAAGACTAGTGTTTTGCCTACACCAAGTCATGGTTGGCTATTTATCTTGAAAAGGATAAAGATAAGTCTCTCATTAGCATTTCACAAAATTCATTTGGAAACTAGTCACTAGTTGCTTTATCTCAATCCATGATGGACAAAAATTATTCCTAGTACTAAAAATTAGCAAGTTTTAGGAATATGGGAAGCCAATCAACCTAGCAAATTTAAAATGGAGTGAGATTTCGAGCCACTTCGATTTTTCAATGGTTCTTCTAACTGTGATACCACAGTTTGCGTTAAAAGAATCATCTACACAATTAATTGTTAAAAAAACTGTTCTAATAAGGCATATGATGTAATAAGCTGAAATCACCTGTAACAGTGATTGAAAGTAATATTTTAGTCATACAAAAAAACGCCAACTGATCTATAATTTCCACAAAAACCCTTCACTGACCATAATCATGTTCTCACTAGTGACTACCTTCGAGATACCATTCCCAGAGTTCTAATAAGAAGGCGTGACCAATGGAGTTCAACCATATCGGGTGTGAAACAGATGGCAATGGAAAATGGTAAGACATTAACACTGTTACATCCCAGTTCACTGGTCTAGAGGTTAAGCATTTGTGTATGGGCCCAAAGGTCCTTGGGTCAATTTCCTGTGCTGAGGGTCGCGCATCCACACTATTGAGGAGTTCTATGCTAGGATGAAAAAAAACTGTTCCGTGCTCCCTAATTGTTATTAATGCTCCAGTTAAGATCATTTCGTCATTTAAACTATAAAATAACCTATCATGATTAAATTAAGTGTTCTCTCGTAAATAAAAATGAACTACAGTTCACCAATTAATCAGTTAATTGATTTCTAATCAACGAATTTATGGACAATTACATTTGATAAATCCTTATGTAATAAATTTATTTAGTTTCTAACTATACAGGAAGTCAAATATTATATTTCTGTAATAAATATAGTTCAACAGGAAAGATTTACAAAAACATTAGAAATAATACCAATCATAATAAAAATAATAATTCTCATCAGTGGTAAATTACAGTACACTTGATTCTCCACTCTGTTAAGTGATTTTTTTCAACAGTCAGTACGATAACATAATAAACAGATTTAGATTTAATAGTTGAATTCATGTGCCAGTTAAAGCTGGAGCATCATGGAAAATCTGGAAGCACTGGACAGCCATTTCGTTCTAGTATGGAACTCCTCAACAGTGCACATCCACCATCCTGTCCTTGGGATTCGAAGCCAGAACCTATAGGTCTCGCACAAGAACGCTTAGCCTTTAAACCACTGCTCACTAGTGACTGGCTTCAAGAGGTATTTCCTAGAGTTCTAGTGAGAGGCCGTGACCAGTGGAGTTCAACCAGGTCTGTTGTGAGACAGTAACTCACTGAAGACAATGATGGACGGTGGCGCAATTCCATGGATTAGTTGAGGTTAGATTTTAAAACCATTGGATGCCGGCTCAGTGGTTTACAGGCTAAGCGTTCGCGCGTGAGACCAGTAGGTCCTAGGTCCGATTATCGAGGGTGGGATCGGGGATGAGCACTGTTGAGGAGTCCCATGCTAGGACGAAATGGCCGTCCAGTGCTTCTAGGTTTTCCATGGTGGTCAAGCTTTAATTGACTAATAAACTCAACTATTAACTTACTAAAATCTCCACAAAAACACCCCTTCCTAAATTTAGATTTAACTTAACTCCGACAAACTATTATACTATAGATAATTAGAAAATATAATTTGTATTGATAAGATTAGACCTCAACTATGAAATAACTAATCAAAATATTTTACCGACTAAAATCACGTTTATTTGTTAATTTCTAATATTTGAAGAGCATTTAGATGAGAAAGATAATATGCTCAAGTGAGAATTTTTCAACATCAGGATACACATTCACAATATGAAATCCGATACATGGTAATCGACAATCGTTTCCAACGATATCTTTTGAACAGGATATAACATTTTGAAATTACTCTAAGTGGCCAGATAAGCTAAAACAGTTATTACTCAAAACTAAAATGAACCGTGTGGCATTTACTGACATCGAATGTTTAGCTCTTCAGGGACCAAAGTTCAATGAAACATCAAATACAATAGCAAAAAGGTTTCCAATGGCGTGGTTGCAAAAATATATTCGGTTATATGAAAAGTTGGTTTCCATATATTGGTGGATACGATAAGTAAACTCATTCAGTTGAAATCAAAATATAACCTGGTATATAAATGTGTCGATTCAAGTTGTCACACAATATGACCACCGTGAGATGAAACTATCAAGACGACATTCCAGGGTAGTAAAAGTAGTAACCAAATCGGAGTTAATAGAATGAATTAGGCATAAATAATATGATTTAAGAAGGATGAATGATTTGTGGAATAGATAAAATATGTAAGATAATTTTAACACTCAAAACCTAAGGCAAAAGAAAGAATGAATGTACTTGCGACATTGAGTACGACTCTGAGCCATGATATTCAATTCCGACCATGACTGCTATCTTGACGTAGTGGTTAGGCTTGCCCATTGTGACGACTCAATAGAGCTATATTGGCTGGAACATATGTTTATTTAGGTCCTCCATGCCACACAGGTTTGTTGGAGAACAATAAGACTAAAAGCAACAACTTAAGATCCGAGGGCGAAGTCGTATTGCTGACTGTAGAAGGGTGTGACAAGAGTAAAGTGTTCCCCTCGGACAACCAGCATCTGCAGCGATGCTGCCTCTTCATAACGGAAGTAAGGGGTTAGAAAAGGTCGACCCTAAAATACCACACCACCCCTTAATCCATGGATTTTCATCTCAGGTGGTAAGACCTTTTAAAATGCAGAGCTCAGACATCAAGAACTTCGTATAAAATGGCAGTGCGCGCCTCAAAAAGTTATTCCTTGAGCGCTGCAGTCACGCTCCCAGGTCGCTAAGACCACTACTACTAGTTCATTTTCTTTTTCAAGTTCATCAAGAAGAAATATCCTTCCACAGCATGGGCAACTGGGAAGTGACAACTGCCCCTACATTTCTATCAGCACCCAAGATCATCTTGTTGACGATCAGACCCTCCTTCACTTAATAATTATCTGACCCCCACGAATAAACGTCTTTATCACCACACGCCAGCAATTCTAATAATTTGAGTTCACAAAATGTTATTCATGGTCTCCTAAAATCACGCTCTAAACTATATGTTGGAGATTATAATGTTTGAACCTTCTTTCAGATAGGACAACAGGCTTCTTTAGCTGAAACTCTATGATCTCACGCCACCGATGTATACTACGTCTCCGGTAAGCGCATACAGGATCCAAGTACGTTCATTCACTTGATCCCAACATGCCAATATAAAGCACCATTCAAGTATCTGCAGACCTCACTGCTAATTCCCGTGACCTCATAAGTGCAGCTATAGCATTAAGTTCTAAAGCAAAACAGGCTTTACTAGACTTGATTCCAATAGACAGCCGCTTGTGTATTGTTCGACTAAACGAGACAGTAAGAACACCAAAAGATAAGGACACACATCGTGGCCTTTTTATTGTCTCCGTCTACGCTCCCGCTGATTGCAGCTCAGATGAAGTGAAAGATGAATTTTACAGGAAGCTATCCAAGCTACTTCAAAAAACAAAACGGTCGGCTGAAGAAATGGTTACAGGTAATTTTTATGTTCAAGTAGGTAAGTTAAGCTAAACCGAAAGGCTCATAATTTGGTGGAAGACAAAGAATGAATGCCTCTGGACCATCTCATTAAAATTCTGTGACTATTGGTTACGATAATCATGCGGACTCTAACCAGATAGTCTACACCTGTTAACATGTATCAGTCCAATTGTCACTGATTTAATCGACTGATACCGTGTTTTGGTATGATCACCCCCATTTTTCTTCCAGCCTGACTCTGCACTATAAAACATCGCACGTTGAAGTAGGTGGTGGTTGGGCATACTTAACGTATATTCCAACCTCCTCAATTGATGAACATTAACTACTATTTCACCAATCGATTTCTCATCTTTGCCTAATACTCTGTCCCTAACCTCCTCATTCCACACTCAGTTGTCTCAGAATATACGAGAAATGCTTCGTAGACACCTATGATCGAATACCAGAAATCTACCAATATCCTCTACTCTTGATGGCCATGTTTCACAACTTTAAAGTAGAATGGAGAGAACAGCTGCGCAGTAAACCCGCCCTTTGATTGAAGGACGGATATCTCGACTACAACACAGATGATGCAGGTTAGCAAAGGCCAATCAAGCATTTCGAATCCATGCAGAGATTTTATCAGATACCAGATAGTCAGTACTGATTAGGCTACCAACATAAGTGAAGCGATAGATGCGTTCAACTACTTCAGTCCCTACCACTAATTCAGGAGATAACGCAAACCAATCCTGAATATTTTACATTTGGAGGGAGAAGACCTCTTCCCAAACATGTTTGCAGTTTTGCTTAGGATACCAGAAGACTGCATTTTGTCAGCGTCTTCGACAGACAGAACTGTCATCCGAGCATCCTAAGTCAATAAGTGAATCTCTTCAAAAGAGACCAATTCCTAAAAAATCAAACTATCAGAGAGTTATGTCCAAAACGATGTTTATGACGAAGTTAAATAAAAATACAAAGTGGACAGCCGTGACAAACACAACTTTATGTTATCTATTCCGAAGACAGTCGTTCATTATAAGCTCTAATTCGACCAGTAACGTCCAAGTAGATGACCTGTACAAGGTTGATATAGTGAATTATAAACTATTTAGGAAGGTAATAAGTAACCACGTCAACAAAGTTGCACGTTAGAACAATTTACAAACAAGGATAACTACAATAGTTCAACACTGAAACATTCCTTTATTCTTGATAACACCTAATCGTTCGAATCAATACCTTGTCTTGATTTTCAAAAATTATTATACAAATAATCAATAGTGTTTCCTCATATTTATTGAGTCTAGTTATTATTCGACGCCAACTACTTTTCATCTGAATTTTCATAATTATCACCCTTCTGTTGACAGGACACAGATTATATTAAGGAATGTTCAATGTAGGATTGTGATGGAGCACGTTGACTGATCCATTCTTAGTCAGTCAGTTCAGGAGAAAACCCTATAATCTACCTGTGTAAAATTAGAAATATACTAACGTTTTTCTTATTGTAATTCAATCCCATTCAACTTGATTGATTTAGGAAATAATTACGAACTTGTCAAAGCTGTGTTCTGATTTGGGTCCGAAGAGTACTAAGCAATAAGGATATTAGGGTTGAATAACGAAAGACTTAACACCTTCCTAAACCAATGGTAATTCATAATAATTAGTAATAATAATAATAATAATAATAATAATAATGTCACAATGATGACTATTACTGTTTGCTGTTAAAAAAATCAAGACAATTTAAATACGAACCAGGACTGTATAGTGAAAAATACTAATTAACAATGATCGTTTGTCAGATCAACAATAGGATGTCCAAATGTCACATGAACAGTCAGTCAGCTACAACGTAGGAACAGGTACGTATATGCATCGGTCCAAGTTGCCATACCTCATTAACACAAGATGAACACCGGATTCATAGGAGTAGTTAATTCAATGGTGGTAATATATAAAAGAAAGACTGCATATAAGGATATAGTACAGGAAGAAAGAATTAGTTCGTAGAAAGAAAGATATGAAGTGATTTTAATCTCTTAGTTTAAGGGAAGACAGAGAGTGTATGAACAATCGTCATCAAATGACAAATTTCCACTAAAAAAGCACCATACACGGCAAACTTATAATCAATCCATGAAGGATGTTCCAATATAACTAGTCTTTTATAGTATCCATAGTCTAAACAATAAACAAATACATGAATTTCTTAAAGACATCTTTATTTCCCATTTTAGACCAGTTCTTCAACTGCAACATACACACACAGACAATCGGTAATATTGATAATTTCTACCCAACACTTTATATCTCATAATCACCGATCTGGAATCCTTATTCCGAATAACATAGAAATATACAGAGACATTTAGGTTAAGTCATTTCTATTATAGATTGACACTAATTATTACAAGTTCAGTATATAATCTGCAAAAAGAAACTAGATTAAAGATCATTGTTACTAGAGATTACTGAGGAAAACTATGCAATAAAACTTAAATAGACTTAATGATGGTCCCGATGTTTGAAAATATTTTATCATGATCATAATGATTCACAAAGAAAATATATTTTATTGTATATCTTGCTAAAGCCCATGATTGTTTAATGTAGACGTATAGTCTAGTTATACATTAGCTATCTACTTATAGTATCATGTTTATTTGTTGATCAACATCTTAATACATTTTATTACAAAGATTGAAAAATGAAACTGTTGAAATGACTTAGCTTACTTCATTTGTTTGACGATTGTGCTCTTTCCTGATTCACCGGCACCTAAAATGTATATGTTTGGGAGAAAAAAAGAAAGGAGGAATTATATTTCAATGTAGAAAGTTTGAAAGATAGAAACATAAAAATGTGATTAGTAAGTTGGTAGATTTTTATTTAGAAAATGAAGTACTTGACACTATTACACTAAGCCTTTCTAGATGAGAAGTGGTGGTTTAGTAGGTGAAGCATTCAATTTTAATCATTAAGACTTATGTTTAAATTCGATTCGACTCACTTCGGTTTGAGTACCAAGGCAACAACACATTAGCTTTGATCACAGGATGTTTAGTTAAAAGCTGAGTTGTACTTATTTAAGTATACAAAATCTTGTACAACAAGGCACCAAAACATAGAGTGCACCACACAATTTCACTGAACGTAATTATTAGCATATTTTCGTGGGGGCTAGGATACTTCCCGGGCTCATGAGCCGAAGCACGTGCTTTTTAAGGAACCATTCCTGCAGCCTTCAACCAGAGTCTGATCTACAAGGCAATAGTACAGTATGCAGTCGCATAGTACCCAGTGATCGAAATAGGCTCACACACCATTCGTCCCTTTATGTACAGGATGTCACAGGCACAACTGGTTTGGAGTTTTTCAACTTCCCTTGGTAGATACTCCGTTACCACTAACCCGACTAAAGCACCCAGTACATGAGGCTGTAATTAGTAAATGATTTACAAAGTAAAAATAACGAATTGTATTATAATTTGAATGTCATTAATTAACCAAGCAAGGGTTTAGTTAATCTATTTGGACTCTTTTAATGTGTAATAGCTAATGGCAATACTAGTCTGTCCAAAATAAAGTAGACAGAAATAAGTTTAAACTTAGAATCTGATTGGTCGTAAGTCAGATGTGTTAACCAATTGAGGCACCGCTCCACAAAAGACTTTATAAGATGAACAATTAACTAAAAAGTTGTAAGTATGGACCTCTTCCCTATTTAGATATAAGCTATGAGAAAATACCCAATAATCTCTTCTACTACATCACGTTTGGTAATCTATAATAAAGAATTGGCTACCACTGTCATCGTACAAGTGACCACCACCATATTAGTGTGTAGATACTAATCAGAATCGAATCAACTGTACTTGATCTGAATAAATGTGCATACTAACTGGATATCATGCAGACTACAGAAGGCATATACTTATTCGTATTGAAACTGATAAACATGATTAACGTAGATAATCGAATGTGCCAACCAGTTCCCTCAACATCTAGCCTTGTTCAATGTGAAGTAAGACGAAAAAATAACAAGACGTGAGATAAATAGAGGAGTGTTATGATTTATTTTATATCCAGTAACCGGCTAATGGTCGATAGAGTACACAAAATGTTCACCCGTTTTCAAGCTAACAACGAGAACTCCAAAGAGACCAGTTAAGCACCTAGCATTATTTATGTATTATTAAAATTTAAAAACTCGCATGATTATCGAAACAAAATGAAAGACTATCCCACAGCATAAATAAGAGATACCAATAAAGTGTACATTCCTGGTGGAAATCTGAAGTAACCGGTACACGAATAATTTAGTGTAACCTATGAGTGGGTGAACGTCATAAGTAGAGAAATAGTTAATGAGTTAAATAAAAGTTTATAACTAAGACAACAGTAAAATATTATAAAACTTTCCATATAAATACATTAAAAACATATATAATGAATCATCCTCGGATAACAACTACCTACCACTGTTTCCCACATTCAATCATTACCACAATTCTAACAATGAAGACGTCTGTCAACAATATTTAGTGGTATATCACCCTATCTAAACACTTCAACTAGTATGGATCCAAGAGGAGGTTAAAAAAATACACATCTACGCCTCCTAATATGTGAAGATAATGTTTAAGATGATCACACAAACACACTCTGTTATGAATGTTATGAAGTCCTCTTGAAGTTCAATGCATACAAATATTATTCTTAATAGTAGAAGGGTTGGAATTAACCCGTTATTCATATTTAAGACCGGATATTTGTGTACAAGTACTAGATATAATTGTGTAATATATCTTTTTCGATACTTAGTGTTACCATGACTATTTCTGTCTGAAGGCAAAGTAGACAAGGTACGAAGTTTCATATTTGCATTTTTACCTAACCAATATGACCAATTTTACAATCCTAGAATGAAAGCACACCAAAAAGAGATTAATTAAACAATCAACAATTCAAATACTATCTAGCAAGATATTTCCCTTCGTATTTAACGAAAGAATTGAGAATGTCTATTTCAATGTACATAAGTAAACGATTTGTGTTTCACCTTGTGAATGAATACAGTTGGGTTAGTTTCCCCAAGACGAAAACTACCGGATTCTCGATTTTATAGCGACAAAGGAATATACTTTTAAGAAATGATAAGCTTCAAGTAAAAACATTACATAGTGCTCCTTATTTATAGAATAATATGCCAGCTATTAGTCTTCACTTAAAAAGGAGCTTCACGATTTTCCTCATACGATCCGAATACACGATACAATAGCAGATAAATAATTGTTTGTAAGTTCTTAATTACTCGAGCCAAAGTAAATCAGACTGCGAATGTACAATGAGCTTGTGGCTTCCTTAAAATTTTGAAACTGATTAATATTCAGTAACTGATAAAACATGATCAAAAGACTGCTTGCACTAATCGACAAAGGTTGTTGTTTTTTTTATTAATAAGGTATAACCAGAGGAAATTAGGAAAAGACGTTGGGAATGGATAGGACATACATTACGAAAATCATCTAACTGAATCACGAGGCAAGCGCTAACTTGGAATCCTGAAGGGAAGCGGAAAAGAGGAAGGTCAAAGAACACATTACGTCGGGATATAGAAGCAGATATGAAAAGGATGAATAACAACTGGAAAGGATTGTCCAGGACAGGGTTGGATGGAGAGTGCTGGTGAGCGGCATATGCTCCTCCACAAGGAGTAACAGGCGTAAGTAAGTTTAACCAGTTACAAAGGTTATTAAAATTCAACTCCTTAAGTTCATAGTTCCCTAGGATTTTAATGAAAATACTTTTATTAATATTGAGTTGAATAAATAGTAATGAAATGTTCCACAGAATAGGAAAACTCAGGAGATTCAAAAAGTCTTAAAGATAATATCAACGAAAATGTATATTAGTAATTATCTAACAAATTTTTAATAGAACAATCCTATCGGTCAATAATTTGCACTCATTTACGAGAACATTACTGTTCAAATAAACGGTATATTGATTAAGGATGAAGTTATGATAAGAAAATTATACATTTTACAATTGTACTCTACTAATATGTATGGCACTGATAAATTAAGATATTTTAAAAGAAAAGATTGAACATAATCACTCTAATATAAACATAAGATGTTATCAGAGTCAGTTAGCTACAACGTAGGACCAGGCACACATATGTATCGTTCCAAGTTGCCATGTTATCAGAATTATAAATAAATTCAGAAATTAATAAACATGCCTTATAGATCTTATAAACAATATGCTACTACTTCGATCATAAGTTTAGATTTCATGTTAGGTCCCGATAAACATAATGAATGGTAACTTTGGGATCCTTTTATGGACCAATACTAAACGTAGATTTTTATCGTATAATTGTTAACTAAACTATTCCTATTCCTCTTATTATAAACTTTATTTTGACCTATGAACTATTATTATACGATTTATCATTCTTGAATTATGCCCTGTCTATTAGTCACTGCTTAACACATTCACAGCCACATTTGGCCAAATTTTGTGCAAATGTTATTTTTTATTTTATGGTACGTTGTGGTCTGTTTTTATTGGTATATAAACTCGGTATGTTTGAAATATAAGGATTCATATTGCAGAGGCCGAGATTGGTGTTCTGGACTTAACTGGCTGGGCTAGGCGGAAAGCGGGACCAATCAGGAATCTAGGCTGCTCGCATGTGTTTTACGCGTCGTTGGTCCGATCGATAATTCGCTGCTTCTGATTGGCAGCTTTGGGCTATAACATTTCATCGGTTGACAGTGGCTAATTATACCTTCATTAGTTTGATACGAATGACATATGTATTCGATTATCGTATTAAAAATAACAATAAAACAATATCCTATCACTTATCATCTTTTACCAAAGTTCTTAAATTCAATGAGCGATAGATATGCCAACATATTCAATGATTAGTTATTCAATATATGAACACACTGAGGACGTCTCTCCGAGTTGAGGACGTTAGACGACTCTCTGTGTTCGATCATCGCTGTCTCCGAAGGATTGCTGACATTCAGTGGCAACACCATGTCAGTAATGCAGAGGCTCGGCATCGTGTGTTCGGGCACAGAGACGATAATGCAATCGGTGTCACCATCTTGAAACACTGACTTCGGTGGCTTGGACATGTTCTACGAATGTCGTCCCAGAGAATTCCACGTCGTGCATTATTTGCCGACTCTGGGACTGGTTGGAAGAAGCGGAGAGGTGGTCAGTGCATGACATGGTGTCGTGGCATGAAAGAAAGCTGCAAAGGACTGGCTTGTGTTGGTCCTTCACGACTCCCTGGTTGGGGTCCGAGAGATGGTGCTATACAGTGGCTAGAGACGTTATCAGATATGGCTCAGAATAGAAGCCAGTGGCGATCCTGCTGTAACCTTCTTTTACTTCCTTCATAAAAAGTGGTTGTGTCTCCCTTACCTGAAAGATTTCTTCCGATTGTACCTTTCCGTTCCCTCATTACTACCACACTACCTTACACCAATCTCTTCGTTATCGTTCTCTTTTTTTTACGCTCCTTACCTTTTGTTTCTTTTCTCTTCGAATTCTCATTGTTTTGTGTGGCGCATATATATTGGCGCTCTCTTGTACCAATATTCATGTGTCCAAATAAATAAATAATAAATAATACACTGAAAGCATTTACCTGGACTTAACTCGTCAAGATATCATCATATATTTTATTCACGAACAGTGAAAATGAGTCATTTACTTCGGGCGAAGTTGAAAACCTGGTAAATTCTATACGT